TCTTTTGTTTCTTTAGGTAGATATACTCCTAAGTATTTTATTCTTTTTGTTGCAATGGTGAATGGTATTGTTTCCTTAATTTCTCTTTCTGTTTTCTCATTGTTAGTGTATAGGAATGCAAGAGATTTCTGTGTGTTAATTTTATATCCTGCAACTTTACTGTATTCATTGATTAGCTCTAGTAATTTTCTGGTAGAGTCTTTAGGGTTTTCTATGTTTTGTAAGACATTTTTGAGACTCATTAAGTAGCATAAACAGAAACAAAACCACTTTTGGAGAATTTGGAATCCAAATCTTTAGTGTCTTTACTAAGCTCCTGTTTTACTTCACTGTTATAGAATGCAATGCCATCTTTACCTATAGATTTAAAATTTTAAAAGCAAGTGCATCCTATTTAATAGTAATTGTAATAATTTTTCCACCTCTTTCTGCAAGGTCAAAGCATATATATGATCTTTTAAAGGTATTCTTTACTTGATGGATTAGCTGTACTTTCAAAACCACTGCAGTTTATCAGGTAGTAAGTGTTTTCTACATTTTGCAGCTGCTCTAATCTATTTGCAGAAAACTCCTTTTTTGTTCTATGTACACATTTTGACAACATTCATTATCTGCTAAACAGTCCATATTGGTTCTGCAAAATGGTTGACTGCAGAAATTCAAATGTAGTTTCCGTACTGAAAAGCAGCTTTTTTGCAGTAATAGATTGGATCATTACATTTTACATTATAATAGCTTTACACCATGTTGAAAGCAGGAGTCAAATAAAATGTTAAGCTTGATACTTTTCAAAATGACTGCTGCATCTACATTTAATTCTGTTTTTCAAAATGACAATTACATCTTTTTTATTATTTAACAAGGAACTTAGAGGCAAACCAAGCAAAAGAAAGAAGAAACTCTCCTGGGAATTAGGATGAGGGAGACAGTGCGGGGAAGGGCTTGGAAAGTCAGAGGAATGCCTGGTTCAAGTTATGTTGCTTTTCATTTTCAAGACTTGATCATTTAAAAAAATATTCCTCTGAGAATGTTAAAAATACCTCTTGTAAAGCATTTTCCTAACAATTTTGATTAATATAGAAAATACATTTTAAGAAGATATCTTTCCTTAAAAAAAAAACAAACACAATATATGGTTTTGAAGGTGAAAATTATAACATGACTGCACTGTTTAGATAATACTGATTACTGATCAAAACTTTACTGATTGATGAACAACTGTAAATTTTGTGTTTTGTTTCTAATGGGTTTTTCTGGGGATACCTGTCCTGAAAGGGGTTATGGAACTATTATTGACAAAAATAAACACTAGAATTACATTTTATGAGATGTGGATGATTAAAAAGGCAAAAACAAAAATTACTTTAAAGCACTGTCTGTAATTCATAGTGCAGTATTACTCTGGAGACTCATTATAAATAACCAATTATTCTGATAATGAAAGAAATGTATTTTTGTAATATGGAAAATAATGTAATATTTTTGTAAAAAAAAAACCTCCTGTGCTCATTAGTAGGTGGGACACAGTTGAGCAAAGAATACATGAGCTGAAAGACAGGATAACAGAAACTTCCATGATAGATATGAAGTCATATCTAACATTAGAATTTGTTTATTAGACTCATCACTAGCTATTATATTTTTATAACCAAGTTATGTAATTCTTACTTTACCCAACATGAATTATAATCTGGAGATCATAGGCCATCATACCTAAAGTTAGTAGAATGTGTGAAATATATGCCAAGTAGGCTAATTTTATTACCATATTACATATTAAATGTCAATGAGAATGATATGCATTTTTCTTATGTTGTTCAAGATAAATTTTCCCTTGTTCTGAGTTTCAATGATATTCCTTGCTTCTTTCATGTGCTTAAATGAGATCATAGGGTTTGGTTTAGTATATAGTTTCTTCATTAATATTTTGTAAGCATACACTTTCCAAAGTATTTCAATATTTCCATTAAACTAAAAATTTTTTGCACAGGACAGTAAATTTATACATACAGAATTTCAGTGTAAAGCATAATGTTTTGCATGTGGTCAGCACTGAAGTTTTGCTAAAAGTTAAAAAATAAAGAAGAACTTGTATTGATAAAGTGCTTCATTTTTATGATGGAAAACCTCCTGTGCCAGTTTTATAAGCTGAGCATATCTAGAAGAATGCCAGCTCTGTTAGTAGCACAAGAAATAATTACTGCTATGGCAACACTTCTGGGAATGGGATGTCTGTCTTATCATTTATCTCAACTTGATGGCGAATTATCATACTAATCTTTTTTGTTTCTAGGTTTGTGATGTGAGTGATTTACAATTGTGAACATCAGTTAAAACTGTTTTCTTCATCTTTCTCTTCTCCCCTTTTAGCTCCCTGTGAAGGCAATACTTTCTTCTGCCACAGTAACATGTGTATTAACAATACATTGGTATGCAATGGACTCCAGAACTGTGTGTACCCTTGGGATGAAAATCATTGTAAAGGTAATCATGAGTCCCTGGACTTGGCAAAATCTCTCTATCTGTAGCGTGGGAAGAAGCTTATCCAACGTTCATATGCATCAGCCCATCTTAAAAATAGATTTTATATTGGCTTTATGAACTTCTTGTATGTTTTAGAATTGATTGGTAGGCCTTTTTCTTGGCTTTTATTCATGTTGTTTCTGCATTCCTTAACACACAATGAACTATCTTTTACACTTGAGTGGGTTTCCCTGGTGGCTCAGATGGTAAAGAATCTGCCTTCAATGTGGGAGACCCAGGTTCAATCCCTGGGAAGGGAAGATCCCCCTGGAGAAGGGAATGGCTACCCTCTCCAGTATTCTTGCCTGGAGACTCCCATGGACAGAGATGCTTATTGGCTGATCTCCCTTCTGGAGCTGCAGCACCGTGGACTGGCCACTGGACCTTCTCAAGCAAAGTCGGCTTTCCTATCAGAAGCTCCTTCGTCAGTGGCTGCACCTCTCTGTCAGTCCCAGTCTGTCTTCATGGGACATTGTGCAAATAGTCTAGAGATGAAGGTGTATCCAGGGAACCTTAGGGCTCTCAGGTACCTAAAGACGCTTACCTCGACTTCAGTTTTCCTACCGAAATGCTTTTTTTCCTTTCCAATGAGAATATCTTCCTTTGATCCAGCTTCCTTCTGTGGCCTGTACACAAAGATTTGTTTACATAGAGAGCTGAGACTGAAGCTCCAGTATTTTGGCCACCTGATGTGAGGAGCTGACTCATTGGAAAAGACCCTGATACTGGGAAAGAGAAGAAGAGGGTGACTGAAGATGAGATGGTTGGATGGTATCACCGACTCAGTAGCCATGAGTTTGGGCAAACCCCGGGAGATGGTGAAGGACAGGGAAGCCTGGTGTGCTGCAGTCCATGCGGTCTTGGAGTCAGACACAACTTAGCAACTGAATAACAAAACTCTTGGCTTGGTTATGAATGATGCAGGTTTTGGTTAAGTTCAACGTACCACATACCCTCTTCTGTTTAGATCTTATGTTCACCAATTTGCAGAGAAAAAAAAAACGGGCTAATAATGCTCCATACTTAAAGTCCAGTGTGTGTGCATGCTCCATTGCTCAGCTGTGGCTGACTCTTTTTCAGCCCTGCACTGTAGTCCACCAGGCTCCTCTGTCCATGGCATTTCTCAGGCAAGAATACTGGAGCAGGTTGCCACTTCCTCCAGAAGGGATGTTCCCAACCCAGGGATCGAACCTGCATCTCTTGCATCTCCTGCAGTGGGAGGCGGATTCTTTACTACTGTGCCACCTGGGCAGCCCTAAAGTCAAATATCTTCTATTAAAATATTGAAGCAGAGAGACATTACCACAGTACCTATTGGTCACAGAATCATCAGGAAAAGCAGACCTGGCAACAGTTATTTAGAGGATGTGGGCGATGATCCATTTTGTGTCCAAGGAACCACTTTGGAATGGACGGGGAATTAAATGTTTTGTGAAGAACCTCATACAGCACTGTTAGAGATTGGCTTTACTTGCTTCAAGAGGATTTGTTGCTGTGGTTCTTGTAGCCCACCTCTCTCCATGGGCAACACCTGTCACCACCACTCGCTATGCGCTGATGGGGGGATGGAGGAGGCAGGGACAGCAGCCCACTTCTCTGGGAGGAACACTCACGCTTTATGAATCATACCCTGGCTGAGGATGGTGACCTCTGGCCTTCTCAGCTTGCCCCTTCAGATGGTTCCACACTCTGAGTGAGCTGGGGCGCGTGTGATCGGAGCCTGGTGTGGTCATCCTGCTGTCCAGGTGTAGACCTTCTATCCTACCAGTGGAGCCTGGAGGGAGAAGGGGAGGGTCCAGCATTGGTCCCCCAGTCCTGCCTGGGATGGAGAGGCTGCAGGATGGACCTGGGGGTGGAAAGGGCCCAGAGAAATGCTGGCGGCTTGCCCTTCCTGGGGGGGTAGGTGCTGTAGCTCCAAACTGGGGCTCATAGAGAGAGAAACCATCAGGATGAACTGAGGGTGGAGGAGTTCAAAGGCCACAGGCTCTTCCTGTTCTTAAGGAAATTTAGTGGATTTTCTTGAACGTATGTACCTCTGTTTGCTGTATGCCATTCAATTTCTGGAAACTTTAAATGTTACTTTTAAAATTTTTGCCAAAACTGTTTCATTGGGGAAAAGACCCACAGAAATCCTCATGCCAGCATTCCAGAAGTGTCTGTCTTAAAGTATAATCATAACCTTTTGACATCAGAAAACTGTGACTTCAGTTATCCACATCAAGAATAAATTCAAAACAATATAGGTATGTTCATATTCCCATTGGTGGCACGTGTGAGTTTTCTCATACCAATGAGAAGAAAAAAAATTTACTGTTTTTAACATGGCCAGTTGATTTCCAGATGTCATCCTAAAGGTTTTATAAAACCTTCTCCAAAACATATTTTACATTTAAGGGAGTGATGCTGTGCAGTGGCGGGGGTGGATGGTGATGGCTCTTTCTGAGGCTAGCAGATAGGGCTCTTGTGAAATTCTTTGTGTCTTTTACGTTTAAGGCAATGAAAATTTTTATGTTCAGCCTATTTCATCTTGAAGTTCTCAGTGTACACTTTGACTGCTGTATTAATGCGTGGTGGATTGTTTCTTGTTTTGTTTGTTGTTTTCGCTCCCTGGACCTGTAGAAAAGAGGAAGGCCGGGCTGCTGGACCAGCTGACCAACACCAGCGGGACGGTCATTGGCGTGACTTCCTGCATTGTGATCATCCTTATTATCATTTCTGTCATTGTGCAGATCAAACAGCCTCGTAAAAAATATGTCCAAAGGAAATCGGACTTTGACCAGACAGTTTTCCAGGAGGTGTTTGAGCCTCCTCACTATGAGCTGTGCACCCTCAGAGGGACGGGAGCCACAGCTGACTTTGCCGATGTGGCTGACGACTTTGAAAACTACCACAAACTGAGGAGGTCCTCTTCCAAATGCATTCACGACCATCACTGTGGTTCCCAACTGTCCAGTGCGAAAGGCAGCCGCAGCAACCTCAGCACGAGAGACGCTTCCGTCTTGACCGAGATGCCCCCGCAGCCCGTCAAGCCCCTCATCCCGCCCGTGAACAGGAGGAACATCCTCGTCATGAAACACAACTACTCCCAGGAGGCTGCCGACGCCTGTGACATCGACGAGATCGAGGAGGTGCCCACCACAAGTCACAGGCTGTCCCGCCACGAGAAAGCCGTCCAGCGGTCAGTATCTATAGATTTTTTGATGACAAGTATAACCTGAAGACTCAGATGCTTCCAGCATATTGTGTTCTAGTTTGTCTTCCCATTCCAGTTTCTCATTCATTAATGACAAACCGTAGTATTACAGAGTTTGCCTCTTCTTTTCCTTGTTTCCCTGCTATCTATACTTTTCCTAAATCCCATTTAGGTACATACAGGTGTGCTTACACAGACCAAAGAGATTTCATTTATTTCTATACGTATATAATATTTATTTCTATAAAAGATCTGGTGTTAACTTATATTGCAGATTTATATGGCTAATTTTCTTCCATGTGATGATAAAGGCTGCTCTCATCAATATTTCTATATTTTAAGATGTGAGATGATATTTGGAATTAATTGCCTTACCAAGGTGGTTAACCCATCTTGCTGAACAATTTTAATATAAAAATAACATATTTTGCAATATAATGCATTATATTTTTGGTATGAACATTAAAATACTTTTTCCCACATACTACTACATACCACATAATACTTATATTACAGATTGTGTTTGATAGCGTGGTATGCTGAAAACCTTAAACATTTATACTTAATTGTGGCAAGCATTAGTAAAAACATTTTCCTTTTGATATGAAGACAATATTATCTATATTGTATTATTAGCCCCCAAATTAATAAAAGTCTTGAGGAAAGAAAATTTTAACTTTAAAAAAAAAAGTGATTTTAAATCCTCAAATCCAATCTACTTTTGTTTTGCTTTGCATGTTTACTAGCATTTAGTTTATTTTATAAAAGTTCATACTTCCTCAATTCATTATATAACCTCAGAAACCTATTTTTAGTTGATTAGGTATTTTTGCATGCTGATGGAAAAAAAATCTATTTCCACACTTTTATGAATTTTTAGGAATGCCTTTAAGTAAATATTTGTATGCATATTTATTTTTTTGTGAAAATATTACTTTGTTGAATGAAATAGCCGTAACATTCCAGGTTCTGCCTCATTGGGTCTCTAAGCAAACATGAATCTGAATACAACACAACTAGGGTCTAAAAAGAAAATTCAAGGTAAGCACGTGCCCTTGGCCCCTCCTCCCACTTCGTTGTATTCTGTTTTGTTTTGTTGCAGTCGTCTTGCAGTTTTTTAGGGAATGTGCTCTCTACTCATTATTTCTTGAGATATGTGTTTCATAACATTTCATGATTAGAAACATACTGGATTCAATGCTGATGGATGGATGATTCTTAGTAGACCTAACTTTAAAATACATGTTAATATTCTTACCATCAAGCATTATACTACAATGTAATTTAAAAGGATGTTAAGTTAATAAATTAAACTTTATATGCTTTAAGGTAAAGATACAAAGATTAGTGAAGTCTTAAAAGAAATACCAAAAGAAATCCAAGGTTCTCATAGTTAAAAAATTGAATACTGTCTCAATATAACTGAAGTCAACATATAAAACTGGCAATAATTGTATTAATTTGGCAATATCTACTCAAAATGCATACACTATTTGGTGGTACTGATAATATTTGCACACTCTTATTTTTGCATGAATATGTAGCTTATTTCATCCAAATTAAATGCAGCATGTTATGTCAAATTTTATAATATAAAATTTGAATGCTTGATAATGTTAAACTTTCCATAAATATCAGTTGTCTATGTGCACCTCTATTTTTGTTATCAGGTAACACAATGGCTTTATTTTTAGCATTTAATAGTCTGTGTCTCTATTAGACTAATTTGTCTCCAGTTACATTTACTTGACAGTTAATCTCTTCAAAGCTCTTCAGACCTATCAACTATTCTTGAATTAGGTGAATGCTTTTCTGTGCTCTATGTTACCTTGATAAATTGGTGGATTTGTGCGCATATTTCATTGGGAGAAAATGTTTTAACTGTGTTTTATTTTCAGAGAAGAACTATTTATACAAACATGGGGACTGTGAAAAGGAAATTCTATAGTGAATTGTGAAAAGTGGACATATTTCTAAATTCATTCCACTGCCTTTATCCAAACTTAAGAATTACAGACATTTGTTATTACTTCGGCAAGACCTCCCCGCTGCACAATGATATGTTCATTTCGTAATTTGGTTGCAGGCCACCAAGTGCTCCTTAGTTTTTAAATACATTTTGAGATTTACTGGAAACTTGAAGAAGAAATTAGTTCCTGATTGAGACTATCCCAGCTTTATTTTTCCTGTCGGTTTCACTTTGTTTCTATGTTGCTTTATGTCTTTGTTAGATAATTGTACATTGTGTGATATGTGAAAAAAAACCCACACTTTTGGATGAACTTTGTGTTACATGTACATTGTTTTCATTATATAGACTGCTTGAGAATAGTGCGTTCCTGAGTGATTTTGAACATGCAACAGTGAAAAGTGAAAATATGGACCGTGGAAACACCAGCTAGAGGTTTTATGGACTATAAACATCTGTTGTTGTAATATCATTAAATGCAGCCAAAAGTACTAAGTAAAATTACTAGATTGCAATAAGAAAAATCTCATTTTTTTTGTCTCTCCTATATACCCCCATTTCCTTTTTTTTTTTAATCAAAGGAAGATTCCAAGTTTCAGAAATAGTTTTGAAGTCAGGTATTTTACCATTCATACCCTTTAATAGAAATGATTTTTGATTAAGCATTTAGCAATATGACTGATTGACAGTTTAAGAAAATACCCTGCATGTAAGTACTGGATATTTGAGTTGGAAAAATATTCTTTTTATTAGACACATTGTAAAAAGCATGCATTCTCTAATACTGCTGTTATTCTTCCATTTCCTGTGTCACATGCTTGCTCTTGTAACTTTTTATATAAAGATATATAAAAATGTATAATAATTTCCTAACCTGAGTTAAGAGAAATGCTTTCTTCTATTAGAGTGATAAAAACTGACTTACGTAAGTATACTCTTTATATCAATTCGTCCCACATTTTAGACTACAGGAGGTCCTTAAGAATTAAGGCATGCTTCTTCCAAATTTGACTTTGAAAACTTTATGGAATATGGTCCCCTTTTAGAAAAGAACCTTTTCTTTTCTTAATACTATAAAATCACAAGCCCTATATGACCCAAATTAAATAATTCTGAGTTGTCCTTATACTCAAGGCACATATATAATTCCTGAAAACTTGCTAATTATGATGTTTAATATACATAAATTAAAATATTATAATATATTTAATTGCTTTTGAATTATATACACATTCTATAAAGTTTGATTTAGTGAGTGGGTAATTTTAAAATATTGAATGTGTATTCTTAGAAAATAATTTATAAAAACCAGATTACTATAAATCTGCTTAATAGCATTTCCAAAACTGCTGAATTCTACAGAATTTTGTCCTTCAAATGGCAAAGCTGCCTAGTCTATCACAATTCCAACCTGGTAATGCAAGCAAGCTCTACAAACTCAATAGATGAATTTATTCACATACATCCATGTTGGGAATTCAACTTCACCTGTGTTACAGAAACAAATAAATGTGAAAGAAAAAAATTATGAAAAGAAAATTGATTATGATAGCAATTCTGAGTAGTCTGTATTTAAAAAATATCAGTCCACAGAAATAATTACTTCATGAATTTGATAAACTGGTGAATAGAAAAGCCATGTAGAACAGTATAAAGAAAGATTATTTTTATTGTTTTGCTACATATTTTATATACAGTATGTTAAAATTTAGTCTTTTTTAATTTGACTTGACTAATTCTTTTATTATCATGCTTGTTTTCATGCCCTTTTTATTTCAAAGTTGATGCATCCAGAGGTCTGTTTCTAAGTGCTTGGCTATTCTCTCTGCTGTTGTTGATCAGTCGCTAAGTCATGTCTGACTTCTTTGCGACCCCATGGTCTGCAGCACGCTAGGCCTCCCTGTCTTTCACCATCTCCTGGAGTTTGCTCAAACTCATGCCCATTGAGCCTATTTAAAAAATCTCTATTTAGAAATATTGTCTCTATTTAGAAATTGTTATAAGATCCTATACACTTTGAATGAATAATCTCAAAAAGGATGACATACATGTGAACCACTTACTTTTTACTGTACCTTGAAATACCCACAGGACTTTTCTCTCTAGTTCTTCCTAAAGAAGCAGGATGCTTCTGTTTTGCTGGTTCAGTGCTGAAAGGAGACGTACACCGTAAATCAGGGACTTAGAAAACAAATCCAGCTGCATTAGGTCTAATGACGAAGATAGATGGCTTACATATATTTAACACACAACAGCTCTGTGGCAAACAAAAACATTTCAGATGAAGATAGGCCTCTCCAGTTGTAACACTGAAAATGTCTAAGTACGGGCATTGCCTGATCATCAAGAAGGTAGTGATGAGTCTGAGGAAGGGACCTGGAGGCACCTGTTGTCCCTGCTGTAACTCTAGATGCTGGGTCCTGAGAGTGCGGCATCCACAATGCCTGAGAGTCCCCTGCGGGAAGATCTTTAAAAGTCAGCATTAAAATTTACCAGCATATGTATTGGCTATATCAGACCATGTCACCTGAATATCAACCTTTGATTCAAATTCAAATAGGGAGACATATGTAGATAAGAAAAGGATATTTTGAGACTATCAAGATGTTTCAAATCAAGTTATTTTAATAAAGATACATTTTTGTATTGCATAATACAAAATATGCAAATATCACTTGCTTTATTAATCCCATAGATGTTTTCTGATAGCATAGTTACACAGCACATTCATTCATTTGAAAATAGTTGTTTCGGTTTCAATTCTCTATGTTTGAATTCACTTTCAACATCTGGGAGGCATATCATGGTTATGTGCAACACCTCTGAAACCCTGAATGAAGGTTTTTTTACTTCTGTCCAAATGCATTTTAGTTGCCTAATTCAAGTCTAGTGTGCTGATTCAGAAATACAATTTTTTGCACTTGATTTTATACATATGCCATTTTTACATATCATATTGGAGAATAATCATATGTAATGTTTGATTTGCCAAAATTAAATTCCATTTGATTAGAGAATTAAATTGTGGCTATAAACCTAATTAGAGAGGTAAGAATAATAAACTCAACCTGCTTCAGACTTCAAACTTACGAGGGTTGGTTCCCAGAAGACTCTTGTTACTGCACGAGCGTGATTGTAAAGTTAAACCACTTATTTTTATCCACAGTTGTGCAGCCAACGTGTTCTTGTTTATCCCCAGTTTCTACCACCTCCCCATACTCTAAGGCATTGTTATTTTACATTGCTCATTCTTTGGAAAAATAAAAAAATGTTACCCTCCTCTTAGTGGACACAGATCTAGACACAAAATGTAAAAGTGGCCGGAAAACACAACATATAAATTATTTAAAATAAAATTTCCTTATTATATCACATTATAAAATTTGTGCTTTCCATTCGTTTTCTCATGGGCTAAGTTTAACATCAGTATAGCCAGCGTATTTTGAGCCTGTACAAACTTGTACCAGGACTCTTCCTAAGTGCTTTGGGGACAACAATAAAAGGTGGCGAGCTGACAAGCAGCGTAATTATGGAGCCTTATAGAGGAAAGTGTTCTTAGAGGAGGTCAGTAAGGAAAATGAAGTTCAGAATTATTTGCTAAGCTCTCCATTAGAAAAGCTAATTAGTTACTTCCTGCTAAATTGGCATGGAAGATGAAATAGATTCAATTGTCAGGAGTGTACAATACAAAGAGTGTTTTATAAGAAAGACATTATTAGCACAGATATGGAGGTAGGATATAGTCTCAAGGAGAAAAGAGAGGCTTAATGAATAGTTGCTTTTCTAAGCAGATCTTCAAGATTGAGGACTGTGGCCAAGTAATATATCAGGGAGATTTCCACCCAGAGAAATCAGAGTAGAGAACAGTCTCCCAAGGCCATGGATTTGAGTTGGCTAGAGCAGAGGATTAGACTAAAAGAATAATAGTCAATACAGTTGGAAGAGCAGATTTGCATTTAAATCATGATTTCTGAGTGCAGGTAATGCCATCCAAGGGATTTCACATTTCATTCTCAGGATTTCAACATCTCAGCAAAGTTTGGCTGAAAAATTGTACTTGAAGTAGACTCCTCTGACAGCACTGTATTACCTAAACTGAACAGAACTGGAATAAATAGAGGAAATCAAAACAGTACAGAGACAAGATATTAAAAAGAACAACTGGTGGACTGTTAGATACCTAGAAATATCTGTCTCACTTTCTGTTTGTTTTCTACCATTTTTTATTATTTCAAACTTATGGTTGGGTAACTAGTCAAGGTACTTAGTGTCACATGCTAAGCACCATTCTGAAAGTTTTCCGTGTGTGTATTCCTTTAGTCATCTTAGCAATTCTATGGTTACTACTAATAATATTTGTTATCATTCTTGTTGCTGTCATAAATTCCATTGTACATATGAAGAAACTGCAGAGAGTTTTGGTGGCTTTTCTGGGATTACACAATAAGGAGTGAAATATCCAGGTCTGAACTCAAGCTGATTAACCCCAGAATCAGCCATCAGTCCTCACTGATATGAATACAACCCTTTAATATTCAATATAGTATGTTTCAATGAAATAAGTTGATGCTTATTCACAAAATCCCATGCTTTTGTGTTTTCTCAGCTATAAAAATATGTATTATAGCAACTTGTCTCCATCCTATTGCTCTTGAGGACCAAATGACAATGCATTGGAAGCTACTTTTTATACCCTATAATACATTATAAATAAATCATTTTTCCTAAATTATGTGTAAACTTCATTTTGTAGTCAACATGGAACAAATGTATCATCTATATGGAGCAGTTATGAGAAATAACTCCCAGGCTCCTCTTGTCCACAGTGAAATGTATGACTTCTGGAACCACCAATTTTTATTTCACCCAAATGAGATTTTCTCCAGTGCTTATATTATTGCATCATCTTACTGAACAACATTGAACTCCAGAGCTTAACAAGTACAAACAGAAACACCAACTCTTGACAGAAAATTCTGGTTTTCAGTCCCACAAAATAGTTTGGTATACATTTGCGTGATAACTTGAGAGCAGGATAAGCAAGCATATAGCTAACTAGATAACTTCAGTCTCATAACCATTATTGTTGTTGTTCAATCGCTAAGTCTTGTCTGACTCTTTGCAACTCCACGAACTGCAGCACACCAGGCTTCCCTGTCCTTCATCATCTCCCAGAGTTTGGTCAAACTCATGTCCATTGAGTCAGTGATGCCATCCAATTAAGTCATCCTCTGTCACCCCCTTCTCCTCTTGCCTTTGATCTTTCCCAGCACCAGGGTCTTTTCCACTGAGTCGGCTCTTGCATCAGGTGGCCAAATTATGGTATAAAAATGTGGTATGATGCAATGAAAATAGTTTTTCAACAGAATGAATTCAAATTCAAATATTAGTTTCACTTCGTATTTTTCATCCACTTTTATGTTGTTGGAATTCTCTGAGCTTCACTTTCTTATCTGTAAAATAGGAAGTCTGTACCTAATGAAGAAATTTGCTACAAAAATTAGAGATGACACTGTCTATAAATAAACTGTGAAATTGGTGGTACCAGTGTGAGACCTCTAGTTTTCACATGTGTGTCTAACCAGTTTGTACGGCAGAGTGGAGAAAATGTCGACTGTATGTCCCATGTTTATCCACCTGTGAACCAGGCATTGCTGACCAAGAAGGAGCTCTCCAGCATTGTGATCAGCCTGGGATTTAGACAACTCAGGAGTAGACCTCACCTTTCATCAGTTTGGGAGGGCTTCTTAGGACAGGACCAAACGGAAGGACTGTAGGAGTGAGTAGCTGGGGGAGAAGGAGGTCAGCCTTTACCTCTTAGCCATTGATTTGCCACCATCTGTCATAACTGAGGTTGGTACTGGAAGAGGCAT